CCTACTCCTCCGCCATCTTCTGAAATGTATCTATTACTATCATTATTTTAATGCTACCATTGCTCAAGACGTGGCCAGGGAGAACCCCTTCAAGCCAGCTCCCACATTCTTTTCAGATTCTCATGATCTTGTTTAGCACTTCCTTATATTCCAAAATGTTCCAGGATTATTTGCTATGCCTCCGAATCAGCCCTGTGCCCAAGAAACCTAGATTTATTTTAGAGAAGAGTGGTATTAAGAAACACTGAGGCCTGGGGGCTTGATGAGCCCATTTCTACTAGGTTGTCCTTGCTTTGAGGCTCCTTCAGAACTAGACAATTAAAGATATATAGATAATATATAGGTATATAGCTCTATATTAAAAATCATGAATTTATCTTGATAGCCCTAAATTGGATCCAACACCACAGGGCTCCGTTTTGCCTTCCTGCATTCCATAATTGTTCTTTCCTTCTCTGACACTTCTCCCTAGTTTGTTTATTATGTAGTGACTTTCCTTTATATGCTTTGCTACTAAATATGTTAGTCTGAGCAAGCAAAATAATCTGGGTGTGGAAAAGGTAGAAAAAAGGTTTTGGTGCTGAACAGTGCTAACCAGCTGATGGGTCGGCATGATCCTAAATGATGTGCACATGACTTCACATTTTAATCCTGTATAATCCTTGAAGTAGGTATGTCATGGTCATTTTGTAAAAAAAGAAACTAAAGTGTGAGGATTGTGTACATACAAATGTAGGTAACGTGAGAAAAGTGTCTTATAGAGCCCTAACCACCATATAGAGTTTTCGCTGTGCTATTCCAATTTGTAACCAAAATTTAGTAGAATTTGTATAACCTAACATGTAAAATACATCGGCTTTTTACCTTTGTAGCTGAACAGTTTCGCCTAACAACTGGTACAAGCAAATGCGACAGGGTCCCCCGCCGGTGTTTACATACACACGGAGACTGGTTAGATCCTGGGACCTGTGTTTCTAGGGCGGAGAGTTGCTAGTGGAAACCACAGGTCTACATGACTTCGCCAAGGGCACTGAAGGCCCGTATACCCAAGGACCGGGAAGGTCAGAATTCATCAAGTGCTAGGATTAACGGGGGGGGCAAAGGGAAAGATGGACCTCTCACTTACGTCTTGCACTGAGAATGTCTAGGGCTTATGGCCCTGGAATGAGGAGTGTGTTGAAATCTTATGTACATAACGGTTTGAATGCCACTCACAATATCTCTTTCTTTCCTAGCTAGTGAAAACGTCGTGATCCATCATTTGTTCCAGTCGAAACTGTCACAGACGGGATCCCTCATGTCCTCCTATCCTTTTAAGTTCAGAGGACAGAAATCAGCCCTGCTCAGTAAGAAAACGGCAGCTTCTTCAATTATTGGAGAAAGCAGGAATTATCTAGAACTCAGTAAGGTAGGAGTTTCTCTGATTCTTGTTTGGTTGTTCTTAAGTATGCTTAGTACATTTACTTTTTCTTTTTAAAGTGCAACATTGGGGCGCCTGGCTGGCTCAGTTGTTAAGCGTCTGCCTTCGGCTCAGGTCATGATCCCAGGGTCCTGGGATCGAGCCCCGCATTGGGCTCCCTGCTTGGCGGGAAGCCTGTTTCTCCTCCGCCTCCCACTCCTCAAGCTGTGTTCCCTCTCTCGCTGTGTCTCTATCTGTTAAATAAATAAATAAAATCTTTAAAAAAAAATAAAGTGCAACATTGGAAACCGATGGAAACAAATTGATATTTTAATTTAAAAAGTGAACGAAAAGGATGCTGCCTGAAGTATAATCATAAGAGAGAGGGGACGGTAGAAGAGCGTCCCGTAGAGTGAAAATTCAATAGCAAATAGGGCATTGGTAATTTTATTGGTTGTCTCTGCAACATCCTATTTGTGCCTTGTCTCGGTGACTGTCCTTTTGATGAATGGGAACTGCAGGGAATAAAGTTAGCTACCTTATTCTGTTGACAAGCACTTCAGAGGTTTTAGGTCTCTAAACTATAAATTGTAGCTTCTCTTAAAGACATTGTGTATGTTGCCGGGGCTGGAATTATTTTTACTGGATAGTTTGTAGATTTTAAGCTTACTTTTGTATTATACTAGTTTTAATGTGTACGTGTCTGACACACGTGTGGTTATACTTTAAAACATAAAGGTTCTTTTTATAAAATAGAACTACAAATTCAGTGGAGTTTTCTCAAACTGATAGGAAATAGGTAGGAAATGTGTTAACGTTAAGGATTCAGTCCCTGACGGTAGTCTGGTTTGCTCCGCTTGCCTCTACCAGAACCATAGAGATGAGAAATATGTTTGGGAAGGTGTCCAGGACAATCAGTTTTAGAAATTCAGTTGTTGTAGATTGTTGGAATGCATTTTAGCTTACCAATTAAAATAAAAGCATAATTAAAATCAGCTCTATTTTGGAAGAGTGGCAAGATGTGTATAACATGTTAGAAATGAGTGAGTGCGCGTGTGCGCACGCGTGTGTGTGTGTGTGTGTGTGTTTAGCCAGTGGACCCTACAATTAGGGATCCTTTGATGCAGTCATTCCTGCACTATCTGATCACAGGAATTCTATCTTACTGCATACACAATGGCATTTTTTACATAAAAAAGACAAAGTGTTACCTTTGTAAGGAAGATCTCTACTCCTGAGGGTCTCGCTGAACCTCCTGGCCCTTCCTTTCTCAATCATCCTGGAAATCAAGAGCAAGAAATCACCACACACCTCTAAACTGTAATTTTTAACCTCAATTATTAAACATTACCAGGCATAGATGCCATTAGTCTTTTCCCTAAAGGACTGCAAAAGGAAGATAATTCACAGTGGTTCCTCCACCCAGAAAGGGAAATTGAGTGTTCAACTTCAAGGGATGGAGATTTATTTATTACGATTATTCCTTAAGTGTTTCATTCCTCACTTCCATGCAAACTGCCCTCATCCCTGCTCGTCCACGCCTGGGACTGGGATTCTACCCACTCTTTAACTGAGCGTCACACTTGGCTTTGTGTTTGTAGAAAACCAGTTGATACTGGACCATTTTACATTCCCTTGTCAGTTACAATTGATCATTTCAGCTTGACAGTTCACGTTAATGGAGGGAAATGAACGGTTGCCATGATAGCAACAGCACCATATTGACAAGAATGTTTCATCAGATTTTTTCTCCTATCAAGACCTCTTTATTGTAACATAAATGATTTTGGATCAATAGATATGTTGGTCTAAGTCTGTGTGATTTTGTGAAAGGCAATAGTACATTAGTGGCTGGGGTTCCTTTTAACCCCTGGTGGGATTTAATTAATTATCTTCTGCCCTTTCTTTCTTTCCCCATTGGCTTCATTTCCACTGACTTCTTTTATCTCCACTATCGTTTAATCTTTGCTACGTATGACTTTTTTTTTCTTTTAAGAGCTGTATATAATGATTTATCGAAGAAAACACAGACTTTTGCCATTTTTCAGACAGGTAATTTACTAACTCCTCTGAGTGGTTAAAAAAGAAGAAGAGGAAGGGAAAGGAAAAAAAAGGGAAGAAATTGATTGTGGTTAAACTTAAGGGAATAAACCAGTGATTGTTAGAGCATCAAATCTTTGGAACATAAGCGAGTATCCGTTTGCCTGGCAGTAAGCTACCACTTCCTGAAAAACACAGACAATGGTGATGCAACCAGGCACCAGCGTGAGCTTGTTTCCTGTTAAGCGAGTCGGGCTCTTATTCTCAAAATTCGAATAGAAGCAGGGTGGCAACTTCTGTGTACTTGAAAGGTTGGCAGTAATAGTATTATTTAACAAGCAGTTTCCCGTTTCCCCACTTTATAGTACCATCATTGGTACTGATTTTTATAGTCTGCTCTGAATCTGTGTCATCCTGTGAGTCAATTTACATGGATGGGAGGCTGAATTTTTTTCTTCTACATGGAATTTAGGAAAATACTACTAAAATCACTATGTTGTACACCTGAAACTAATGTCAACGATACTTCAATTAAAAATAAATGACTACATACTTACATAAATAAATCTGCTCACCCTTTGTTTGTTTTTATTTTCATTACAGTTATTAAAGAAGAAAGGAACTTCTACATTTCTTCAAAGACTGGAACGGGGAGGTCCAGGCACCATTGCATCGCAACTCAGGGTTAGTGGATTTTTTTGTTTTCCAAAAGTTAGATTTTGATTATATCAACTGTAGAGGGCTTACGTGTATTTCTTCCCCATTTTTGACCTCTTGTGTACCTTCAGATAAAGGTAAGCACTCAGCGTGCACACAGACACACACACCACAGAGAATTCATAATAAAAGATATATGGATTAAAGATAAACATTTCTATTGAAAAGCTCTTTATATTTTCAGTCAGTGTTTTCTTTGGAGAATCAGCTGTTTTTTGCTTCTCTCCCTAGAAATCTCTAACGGATATTATTGGAAAACTTCAGAAGCGCACTCCGCACTTTGTTCATTGCATCAAGCCCAATAACTCAAGGCTGCCAGATACTTTTGATAATTTTTATGTGTCTGCTCAGCTGCAATATATTGGGGTCCTGGACATGGTGAAGATCATCCGATATGGATACCCTGTTCGCCTTTCCTTCTCAGATTTCCTGTCAAGGTAAATTCTGCTCTTGAAACATTATGTGCATGCTTAGTGTGGCATTCTGACGATGTGCTAGCAAGGATCTTCTGTTTCGTTCTTTGTTTCAGGCATCGGTTTTATTGTTTATACAGTTGACTCTTTGAACAATGGGGGAGGTTAGGGGCGCCTACCTCCCCCACACACACTTGGAAATCCACATGTAACTTTTGATCCCTCCACAGCTTGACTACTAATAGCCTACAGTTGACCAGCAGCCTTACTGATAACACAAACAGTGGATTAACACATATTTTGTATGTAATACGTATTATATACTATATTCTTATAATACAGTAAGCCAGGGAAAAGAAAATGTTATTATGAAAATCATAAGGGAGAGAAAATACATTTATAGTGCTAAACTATATTTATATAAAACAATCTCCACATAAGTGGACCCGCACAGTTCAAACCTCTCTTGTTCAAGGTTCAAGTATATTCTTCTAAGTTGAGTAAAGAAAATACTCTGGGAAACAATAAAATGCACTGACCAAGCTTTTTGTAAAAGTTACTAAACTTTGATACCTTGGAAACCATTTTCATGTTCCTTTATATGAGTAGATTTCCTTGGATTTAAAGATTTCTAAAATTGTTGCATATAATGTTTACATAAGTTTTTCTATTTAAAAGAACATAGGGGCACCTGGCTGGCTCAATCCGTAGAACATCTGACACTTGATTTTAGCTCAGGTCATGATCTCAGGGTTGTGAGATCAAGCATCATGTCGGGCTCCACACTAGGCATGGAGCCTGCTTAAGATTCCCTGTCTCCCCCTCCCACCTCTAAAAAAAAAAAAAAAGATTCTCCCTCTCCCTCTGCCCCTTCCCCCCTCAAAAAAATAAATAAATAAAAATAAAAGAACGTATATATGTGATTATTTTCTCCCTTATGTCTAGGAACAAAATATTTTTTTTAGATCAGGGAAACTACTCTCATTGGCCAAATCCAGCCTACCGCCTATTTTTGTAAATAAAGTTTTATCGCAACACAGGCACTGGTGAAAATAATAACAGTGTCTGTTCTTAGGCTATTACAAAATAATAGGGAAGTAAGCAAAAAAAAAAAAAAAAAGAAAGGAAATAAAAAAGTATTTAGTAATCCTATATAAAAGAAGGTGAAGTTTTAAAATAATATTGATATAAAATATTATCAATATTACAAGAATAAAATCTAGCATTTATGGTTAAAACTAACTGTACACCTAGTACGGAAAATCTATTTGACAAACCATTCATTTAAGAAAAGAGATTTAACACTTGGTTGACCAGAAGTTCCACTTGAGCCACTAGCCTGAGGAAGCAGCTAACTGAAAACAACTGTTGTCTGAATTGCCCGGTTCCCCCAGCAGAAGGTGGTGAGCGTGGCTATGTGCGCACATGTGTGTATCTATATTATATATCACAATGATTAGAAAATGCTTTTTACCTTTGTTTTTTTGGTATTTTTCCGAGTCTACTTTGACGTATATACTCAACCAGGACTTAACCTGTAGGAAAACAGTATATGAGATGAATGTCTTTTAAAATTAAGTACAGCATTTCACATATACGCATCTCTTGCTCTATCATGACCTCTAGGCAGGGACCGGGTCTTACTCAGTAACAATGCTTGTGCACTGTAAGTGTTTAATCAGTGCTTTCAGAATGAACCTGGCCTTGCAGATTATTCATCAATTTAAAGCAATATTTCTACATAACGGAGACCAGAGCCATGGTTTGTTTAAAAGAGTAGTGGGGATGGGAAATGATACTTTTTGGTAAATCTTTGTATTTCTTTCACCAGCCCCTTACTTAAAAGGAAAAAGGAGATATGATTTCTACTTATCCTTATTTGTAGTGGCATATCAACAGAGATGGAATTATTAATTTATTTCAGTGGAAATTTGCCACCATATTTTTTTTTGTAGGTAGGCTCCATGCCCAGCTTGGGGCCCAGTGTAGGGCTTGAACTCACCACCCTGAGATTAAGACCTGAGCTGAAATCAAGGGTTGGAGTCTTAACTGACTGAGCCACCCAGGCATCTTGCCACCATCTTCCTTAAATGAAGGATGCCAGTCTAGGCTATTGTCACAAAAAACACTGATCCATAGAGAGATGATCAGTTTCTATAGAACTTGAATAAAATATAATTCACATACTGTCACATCAGGAAGTAACATAATTTTGTCTTTGGTATAATTGTCACACAGTGTTACCTAAGTTTCAGGTGTACAATATGGTGATTCTCCTATAATTTAATATTTATTTAGAAAGCTCATCAGAACTTTGACATTGCCTCAGGCAATCAAGCGTCATTATATAAACAAAGATTAGAGGTACAATATAATAGAAAATTTTGCTTGCCAAAATCAGATAACCGAATGTATTGTTCCTATGTGAAATACTGATTTTCCCTTCCTATCACCTTGTCTTGTTAGGGAATAAAACCCTTTGGAAAGAAATTACTTTGTTTAGTACACAAAAAGGAATATGATTGCCACAGGCGTATCTGACAAAAAGATGTCCCATTTTGAAGCAAGCACCTACTTATTTGAACAGCGTTTATTGTTCCTGAAATCCAGCAGGACACTAAACAGGGATAATGACATTCCTGTGGAATCTATAGGTGGATGTGATGATATTGCAAATTTGCTTTGTGGTCTTTTGACTTTAATAACTGTCGATCACTCTGAGTCTTCCTAATTGAAACTGGAGAATCGCATTAGTCTAGCGGATCCAATTTTGATTAAATGGAGAGGTACACTTGCTGAGTGTTTGCCTAATAGCATCAGGAGCTTCCCAGTGGGATGATAAAGATATAAGGTCCTGTCTCCCATGACAAGAGACTCCACAAGTTTGGATATAGGAGAAAAAGAAAAGGAGCATCATGATCCATAACTGGATTTCCTGTTGCTATGAACTAAATCGTACGTCCCTGCAAACTCATAGTTCAGTTGAAGCCCTAACCCCCACTGTAACTGTACTTGGAGATGGGGCTTTTGGGAGGGCATCCTTGTGGAATGAGCTCATAAGCATGGAGCCCCAATCCGATAGCATTAGTGTCCTTATGAGAAGAGTCATCAGAGAGCATGCACTCTCTCTCTGGGCTATACGAGGACACAGCGAGAAGGCAGCTGTCTGCAAGGCAGGAGGAACCTCTGTAGAAACAGAAGTGGCCGGCACCTTGATCTGGGACTTCCCGGACTCCAGAACTGTGAGGAAATAAACTTCTGTTGTTAAGCTGCCCCGTCTGTGGTATTTTGTCGGTAGTCGAAGCTGGTGGGGATACCTGTGTTTGTAGGATATGTTTCTCTGGTGTCCATGGGTAGCAGAGCTGGACGAATTATGTTGGGAAGTCTCTGGCGCTTGTTCTCGTTATAAAATACTCTTGTGTCAGTGGAAGGAAATAGAGTTTAGGGGCGTATATCCTGTGGTTTCAAAAACTCTCTCATCCTTCTTACCTTTGTACCCATTGACTCAGTAGTATTTACTTAATCTTGAAAAGATTCATTCACTCAGGCATGCTCCTTTGGACAATCTTTCGTAGAATCCCAAAGTGCTTGGTGTCTCTTTCTAGGCTTCAGAAAGGGCTTGTGCAAGACACTTGTTATATGCTCCCTGGAAATAGCCCTTCATGTGCCAGTCTCAACCATTAGACCAAGAGGTTAGCAGATTACAGCCCGTGGGCCAGGTCTGGCCTGTCACCTACTTTTTCATATGGCCTGAGAGCTAAAAATGTTACATACGTACAATATTTAGCTTCCTCAGTCTTGTCTCTTGGCATACAAAAGCCTAAAACGTTTACTCCCTGACCCCTTCCAGAACATATTTGCTGCCCCGCATGAGGTCATAGGCTGCTTGGATGAGGGACAGGTGTCACTGCATTCCTGGACTCCAGCAGAATGCCAGTCACCCTTTGTGCTTCTCCAGCCAACTCAGTGACACTGAATGGAATGGATCTCATATGCTTTTCTGTCTCAGTAACTTTCCCTAATGTTGGTCTGGTTTTTCAGTGTGTGAGATTTTTCAGAGAGCACTGTAAATGACAACCCTCAGCAGTAGATTCTTGGAAGATAAAACCCCACGTCAGTGGCTCACAATAACAAAACTTTACTTCTCTCTTGCACTCATTTCTGTGATTTAGAAGTAGTACAGCTAAGCTCAGCCCACCTCTGATCTGGGCCTCTTTTTTCATGGTGGGCACCGGGAAAAGCCGAGATGTGGGACATGCCCTTTCTGTGTCATAGGGTGAGGAGAAATGGCCGGGATGCGTGTTGCAATGTCTGCTGAGCTGTGGCATTTTTCACTTGCTTATATTCCACTGGTTAAAGGCAATCCCTTGGCCAAAACCAACATGAATAGGGTGGAGAAATGTCCTATTCCTAGGAGATACTAGACAACATGTAACAAACTCAGCTCATCTGTTGCTGTGTATCAGACACCCCAAAACTTCATGGCATAAAACAACATTGTATTATTTCTCCTAGTTCTGTGGGTTACCTGGGCTCAGTTGGGCAACTCTTGCTTGGGGTCTTTCCAAAAGAGCCATATAGCAGAAGATGGCGGCGTTGGCTGGGCTGGACGTATACGATGGCGTCTTCACTAATGTGCCTCGGTGTTCTTCCAGCAAAACAGTCTGGAACTCTTCCCTGGCAGCTCCCAGTTCCTGGGGCAAGAAGGGAACCTTGCAGTCCTCCTCGAAGCTGCGCCTGGAACTAGCCTGTCATCTCTGCCCTTGTATTTTCTTTGGCCAAATAGTTGCAGACCAACCCAGGTCTATCCCCTGGAAGAAGCAGTGGGTGGTAGCCAATGCCAGAACCAGCTACCATATCCCCTTGAAGGGAGAACATGCAAGTAATTGGGAACAGTAGGAAGACTCCTCCATAGCCATGCCCCTTTGTAAGAATTGCTATTATTTCATCTCTTCCTAGTAAGTATATGGGAGTTCAATGTGTTGAATAATATAATACCATCATGGTTTTGTGTTTTTTTTCCA